GCCTCCAACTGGCAGTTTGCAGCATGCTTGGGGGATTGGAGATCTTTTGTCTCCAAGGACCTTAAGGTTTCCCCCGCAATGTCCGGGAAGGTAACTGGCAAGAAAGACCTCTCCCCAGCTCCCCTGGGCCCTGCTTGCAGTGGAGGGCAGACTCGTGGGAGGGAGGCAGACACCGGAGTGATGGAGAAGCCACTTCTGGACACAAGGTCCAAGGTAAGAGTCTTAAAAGGAGGGAGGGTGGGGAGCGGCTGTCTGCCTCCTCCAGGGCATGGAGGGTGCTGGAATCTTTCCTGGTTCCCCGACTCGGCTCCACCTGCAGACACATCTTTCCCTTTCCTATAGCCACCACCCCCGCATTTCTGCAGCTTAAAGGCTTAGGCATGACCTGGAAAGCCGAGTGTGTGCGCCCTGCTGATCCCTCCCTCCTCCCTGGCAGGGATTTGAGCGGACAAGGCAGGCTCATCCCAAGCAGACATGCCAGCCTCACGCCCTTGAACAGGGCCTTGGCTCCTGATCCCAGTGAGCCACGGAAGGAGGAGGAAGGTGTTCTCAGGGACCTGGGATTAACCCACTCCAGCATTCAGATCTGACGTGGCCTGTCTAATCTTTTACTCTCTCTGTGCTCTACTCTTTTTCCCTATGAAGCTGGTTTTGTGTTCTCTTTGCTTTCACAAACCAAGGCTGTATGTCCTCTGCAGCAGTAGGGACAGAATGTGCGTGGAGGAATGAGTCTGTAAGCTGACGATCCTCAGAATGATCGCCAGTCTGGCAGGGCGCAGTGCTGTGCATCCATCATCTCACATAATCCTCACAACCACCAGCTTCTGTGGTAATCCCTATTCACAGGTGAGGTGACAGCCCTGAGTTGCCAAGCAACTTGTCGGGGTCATGAGGTCATAAGGGACAGAGACACCTCCTGAACCTGAGTTCATCTGCTTCTAAAGACAACATGCTGGGCCGGCCCGGTGGCGCACTGGAGAGTGCACCGCTTGAGAGCACGGCGGTGCTCCCGCCGAGGGTTCGGATCCCATGTGGAGACCAATTCCCGCTCACTGGCTGAGCGCGGTGCGGGCGCAACACTGAGGGTTGTGATCCCATTGCCGGTCGCCGGTACAGGCGTGACACTGAGGGTTGCGATCCCGTTACCGGTCAGTAAAAAAGACAAAAAGGAAAAATAAATAAATAAAAAATAGACAACATGCTGAACCGCTGCATATGACCTCTGAGTTTAAGGTTGTTGCTGTTGGTGGCAAGGGCGGGAGGGACAGAGTTCCTGCTGAGCAGCATCGGTGGTCTGTACCCACCACCACCATGCCAGGGCATGCCACACGCAATAAGGAAGACTGCTTCATCTCCTTTACAGCAGACTACCACTGAAGAGGCAGAGGACCCGAGAGGTTAAATGACTCAGCCAGGGCCACACAAGCTCATGGGTAGTTGAGCCAGGACTCCAGTCCACAATACAGTGTGATCTCTAACCTGCCAAACCATCTATGTTAGAGGCAACCCCTTACCCTGGATGAGGAACACAGGGTCCCCCTGTGAGTCTTGGTTTGTATGGCTGGATGCCCTGAGCTGGTCACCTCTCTCTCTGAGCCTCATCTGAAAACAGGGGCATATATGGCTGCATAGCCTGACTCGTGAGCTCCGGATGTGCCAGGAAGACTTGGATGGGTACAGAGGATGGTGGGTCACAGCAGCTGGGAGCTCTGCTGGTTACCCACTGCCTTTGCTGGCAAAATTAAGGCCATGGATGGTGTCTGCTCTCTGCAGCCCTCCAGCATACTCATGGGGATGCAGAGCAGGACTGTGAGGCCGAACAAGAAGTCTGTTCCCACCAAGGACAAGGCCGTTTATAACCCACGCCCCCTCCCTGCTGGAGGCCAGATGATGTCTTCAGCAGCAGAAAGGCAGCGGGGCTTTATTCTAATTTTCAAAGAATTCCCGGGATTGGACAAATGATCAGCTCTCTAACACTGGTTTGGAGAATCAGGAAACGTCTCAAATGTTCATGGCAGAAGTGTCTATTGATTTGCACTGAAACATCCCAGACAGCTACACTTCTCCTGGAAACAAGATCCTGGCTGCAGCAATGCTGAGTCTCTCCCTTCATAATTCTCCATCTCTAAGCCGACAGCCTTGAAGCAGATCCATGTCCTTGAAGTGATAGCGGCAATTCTATTAAAGAAGTTTGATTACAAAAAAAAAAAAGTGAGATAATCTATTTTTCATTAAATGCTGCTTGTTTCAAAGTGGGAACATTTTCTGGGTATCTGGGGAGCTGGTGTCTGTGTCTTCTTAGGAGAATCTGAGCTTAAAAATCGGAAGAGTTTTCCTTGTAAGAGAGAAACCATCGTTTTCAAAGCTTAGGTCCAAATTATATTTACAGATAAGGGTTTTTTGTCCTGGAAGCCTATTTAAAAAGCACCAAACATCACAAGGTGTCATTCCAGGTACTAAAAGCATTTTCATGAGATGAGATCATACAGATTGTCATTCTTGTTAATATTTTACCATTGTTTATTCAATTCAATGTCAAGGTCTGTTGAGAACCTACTGTGTGCCAGGCCTGGGGATGCAGTTGTGAACAGGGCAGTACATATCCCTGCCTTCTGGAAGCTTCTGGTCTAGCTGGTGTGATGAGGACCAGTGGGGTTCTGGGACTGTCTTACTGAGGAGCTGTAGAAATGACATGCATTTATGTACACACATATTATTTATGCGTTCATTTATGTATATGCATATATGTTTATTCATGACAGTGCTTATCCACTGGTCATCTCAAATGTGGCAGGGAAGAGGTGAGAAGGGACTATTTCTCCATTACCCATGAGCATTCTGAGGCAGACGAGCAGCTCAGAGCTGCTTGGGGGTGTAGGGTAGTACTCAAACCCCAAGCATTTGATTTGGATTGTTTCCACCATTATGAATAATACAGCTATGAACATTCATGTACAGGTTGTGTGGACATATGTTTGCATTTCTTTTGGGTGTATACTCGGGAGTAGAATTACTGGGTCATAGGGTGACTCTATGTTTAACCTCTTGCAGAACTACTGCACTGTCTTCCAAAGCTGCATGCACCGTTTCATATTCCCACTAACAATGGATGAGGGTTCCAGTATCTCCATATCCTTGCTGACACTTGTCATGTCTTTTGGGTTATAGCCATCCTGGTGGGTGTGAAGTGTTTCATACCTTTTTTAAAAACGCAAGGCATATCAAAACATGATCGACTCTAAGGTGCTAGAATATCTGGGGATAATCCAGTATCCAGCAACTTTTTCCTAAGAGCACCAGTCTGCCCTGGACAGGGAAGTAGCTGGCTTGCTCACCGGTCAGTGTGAAGCCAGGTGGCCTCTGCGGTTCCTTGGCAGACTCCTAGATCTCAAGTGGGGTTCATCAGGAGGTCCACTGGTAGCTAAGACTCTGCTGTCTCCTCTTGTCTTCCAGCGATTCACGAGTTCCCCTCAGACCTGTTCTCCAACAAGGAGCGACAGCATGGAGCCATCCTACTGCATATCCTCGGTGTAAGTGACCCTTACGGGTGAGATGTCACTAAACACCTGACACGTGAAGCCTGGCTGCACAGCACAGCAGAGCCGTAGCATGCCTGAGACCTCATAAAGCCCTGCAAGGAAAACAGATACTAGATCTCTCTCACCCACAGAGAAATGGTGTCTTAAATGTGTTAGGTGACTGGCCCAGTGTCATAACAGTGTCTTGTGATGGCCCCAGAACCAACACAAGAATGCAAGCCTTCCTGTGCCTCATTTTCTGCTTTTATAAGATAGGGATGATAGTACCTATTCCAGACGCATAAATATGTGTGAATATGGGTCAAGTGCATCAGACACTGTATGGCACATAATAAGTCCCGTATAAATGCTTGCCATCATGATTCCCATGACTACCCCCAAATTCTACCACGTTTACATAAGTATAGTTTAAAACTTTGGTGTGTTTCTTTTCAAACTTCCCTCTATATTCAGATGGACCTTGATGACACATGGTGGAGTTCAAGCAGCAATTCAAAAAGGAACAGTGGGTTCAAACCTAAATCACAGGTCACTTCTGTGAAGGGGTAGGCAAACTACAGCCCCAGCCAAATCTGGCTCACTTCCTGTCTTTGTAAATTTTATTGGAACACAGCCACTCACATTCATTTCCACATTGTCTATGGCTGCTTTTGAGCTTCAGTGGCAGAGCTGAGTAGTTGTATCAGAGAACACATGTCCCACAAAGACAAAAATATGTACTGTCTACCCTTTACAGAAGGGGTTTACTGACTGGGGAGATGAAGATGGTTGAGGTTTGCTTTTCTATTTTGGATCAACTACAGCAAATTTTCCTCCTGATCCACTTCCCTGGCCATGCAGCACCATCTGCTTGTATATTTAAACCCAACCAAGTATTACTCTTTGCAAGAGATAATTAAGAAGGTGAAATCTGGGACTTTCACTTAGATGGTAACAACCAGAGAATAATTAATGAGTGAAGTTTCTAATTAACAGGGTAAACTGTTAATGAAACTGAAGGTTAGAATGAGGGTTGTAGGCACATTTTGAGTGGCGGGCTTGGAGATTATTTCTAT